GAACCCGTGTCCCCTGCATCGGCAGGCGGACTCCCAACCACTGCGCCACCAGGGAAGCCCGGTTAGAGATTTTTAACTTGATAAAAATAATATTAAGAAGCCACTGGGGAGCTTTGGAAAGTAACATGATATAAATGTTGTTTTGAAATAACGAACATCTCACATATTAACATTACCTTATCTAGTACTTTGTCTTTTCCAAAGCAGTTTTGGATAGGAAATGCCTTTTTCAGCAAAGATGGAAAAAAGAAGGCTTATCTGTCTCCTTCTCAAAGATGATATGGTCCAATCCCATAAACGAATACCTACCTAGAACTTCTCATGATTGTTTTGAATGTTGTACATTGGCTGAAATCTTTCGTTACTGACTTTAGAATTTCATACAGAAAAAGCTCCTTTAAATTTGAAACATATCCTAGAATTCATTGGACTATGGAGCAATCATTCACCTCTACTCCAGCACTTTGTGTTATCACTCATTTGGAACTGACCTTTGCCTTCAGAGGTGTTTTATTTCTCTAGTAGGCTGTAAATGTCTCATATAAGTACAGTATCTTTTATATTGTAGGAGGTCAATTCATATTTGTTATTAAATTATTTTGCTTAAAACTACTCTTGTATAATTATAAAATTCTCACAATGTGCACATGAGTAATTGAAATACTCCAAGATAATTGTCTGCCTTATCTGTATATTATCCCTAATCATATTCAACATTTTCAGTCGTCTTTCTATACTAAATAGATAACCTGCACTTTATCCCGCTTTCTATTATTAGAGTAACTAAACTAGTAAGTTGGTGTGTGTTATACCAGATCCACAATCTCTTTTATTTGATTTTTGTGTCAAGGGCTAATAGTTCCTACTCAATGTCCACTGTTCTCTTCTTTCTTATAGATTTTATCGGAGGAGGAAATGTGCCTACAAAAAACTGTATTTCCTAGAGTCCTCTCCAGGTGAGAGTAGCCATGTGACTAAATTCTGGCCACATGAATGTAGGTAGAAATTATTGAGCTAGAAAATTCCTGCTTGGAATTTGGAGGGCAAGCCTGGAAGAGAATCATGCTCACAGAAAGCTAGAAAGTGTGAATGAAACTAGCTACGCAGTTTGCAGGGGCAGCACAAAAGGAAAATGCCAACAACAGAGCATCGTCTCTGGCACTGGGCCCTTGGAAGCATGGGGCCCTATGTGACTGCATGGGTCACATGCTGGTGAAGCTGGCCCTGTGTGAAGGAACTGGGGCCCGAGGATGTTGTCGAGCTGCCATGTCAGCCCTGGACTGCCCGTCTGTTCTTCTTTTAATAGAGAGGAACACAACCCCCTTCTTGTGTAAGCCTCTGTTATCTGGATTTGCTGTGAGGTGCATTCCATAACTGATGCAGTGCTATGACTACCTTCATTTTACAGATGGGGAAACTGATGCTCAGACAGTTTGGTACCTGATCCGTGGTAACCCATCTGGGGTGTGGACTCAAGCCCTGTGAATATGGGTCACATACTCTTTCTTGTGCCAACACATTGTCTTTCTTTTCCTACAGAGACATAATCATTCTGCGTTTCCTTTTTCCAGCAAGATACTGCATTCTGCAGGTTTGCTGGTCTCACTGTGGTCCCTCTGGGTAGCCTCTAATAGGAGGAGGTTAGCTTCATCTCATTGGTGGTTCCTCATTCACATTTAATTGTACTCTGGAGTGGGCAAGTTACAGGGCCTCAGTCCACATTTAAAATATTGCCAAAAAGTGGTTCACTCTTGTCTCTAGCATAATATTTATACTCTGATTCCTCAGTAATTCTCCCTTTGTAGATAAAGTGTCAAGATCCTACATAATTCAGTTAAAAAAGAAACTCAAAATATGTGAGAGCCCACCTGATGTGGGTTTCCATCTACTTGACCCTTCAGGAGGAAAGCATTTATTCTTTTAATAGTGCATTAGAATAAACAGTGTTGATTGCCCTTTAGGTGTTCTCATGCGTGGCCGTGGGAAGCATTGTGGCCATTAACTATTATCTGTTTTTTTAGCATACAAGCCATGGCTGCCACTTCAATGCTCCAGGACCCCAGGGTAACATAGGTTATATTTGCTGGGTTTGGGCTCCAAGGTGACTGCGGGTTTGCTCAGCTCCAGGGCCAGCGCCCAGCTCAGTTAACAGACACAGGTTCTGGACCAAGTCCCGAGTGGTGCTGGGGTGGAGGTCAGTGTATGATCGCAGGTAATCAGTGTACTATGTGGGATGCTGGCAATGGCATTCGGAAACCCACCTTCTCCCTCTTGGTGGGAGGAGAGAAAACCTCCTACCTTCCCCAAGAGGAAGGAATTCCAGTCTGTTCAGCCAGATTCCAGGACATGAATGTTGGTTGTTCACCAACAGGCACATGAACTGTATGTGCCTCCTTGCCTCTTCCCTTGGTTAGAGGGTCAGGATCCCTCCCAAGCTGGGCCAGGCAGGATAACACATGGGTGCTGGGGAGGCCCTGGGGCTCGGAGGCTGGGGATCAGACCTGGATTTAGGTTGAAGTCTCTACTTAGGGCTTGGCTTCCAACTCAGTTTTACCATATACCTTGCATTGGAGTGTCAGGCCCATTTGTGACTATGTGGCCTTTAGGCGGTCCACGGAGGACAGAACTGTGGTGTTCTGGGGTCCTTGTCTATAGTATCATTTTTAAATATCACCCAAATCTCACTGCAAGGGCGGGCCCTCTGTCGACACCTTGATTTCAGTTCTGGGCTCTAGAACTGTGAGATTGAACATTTCTGTTGTTTAAGCTACTCGTCTGTGGTACTTTGTTATGACAACCCAACTACCATGCTTGGGAACGAGGTTGGGTTCTCCTATTTTAAAAGGCTAGTGGACTCCGTGGTTCGAAGTGGGAATACCACACTGTGAAGTATTTGAAATCATCACCATATCTTTTCTTCCACTGTTCAAATATAGTAGCTTCTTGACTACAAGAAGCTCATAAATGTCCGTCAACAAACTGGACTACTTACACGCAATAGAAGACTTTCCGTCTCACTCCTACTTTGGTAAAATAAGGAAATGGGGGTAGAGTTTTTGTGATCTGAGTTGGGTCACGTGGAGATCAGGTCAGTGGTAACGTGGGATAGATGGGAGGCTCCCTAGCTTATCGTGTTAGTCGTCTGTTGATGAGAACTCTCTGATTCTTGATGAGAAGTTGCTAAAAAGATGATGGAGGATTTTTCTTCCAGTCCTGAAATACTTAGTGCAGTGCCCAGCACTAATAGGTGCTAAAGACTGTACTATCACTATTAGTGTCCAATTCTGGAAAAGGATTGCTTTTCTTAAGTCAGTGGTCGGAGGGGGAGTATCTGCCCCTTGAAATTTATGTCTTATCGGTGGTGCTTAATAAAGTATTTAAATGATATTAATAGGTCTGAACATGATGCCTTGAGCAATCTGGGTTAGAACCTTTTAAACTTTTTACCACATTGCTAATAAGTCACTTCTCAAAAGACTAGGTCTTCAGCATCTGGTAGCTATTAGCCAACACAAAAATAGTTCTTTAACAAATCAAAAACATGCAGTGTTTTATGGAAGAAATTGTAGAGTAAGGAAAATCAAATCCAGTATCTCCAGGACATCTTAATCATTGAGCATGGAAGTTCTAATATATGACATTTTACCACTATGTATGCTAACAATCAAGAAAACTGAGCATAGTAAAAGTAAGGTTTTTAAAAGTGCTGAAAACTTTAATTCACTAAAAGCAGGAAATATTATATTTGTATACTAAATTTTCTGGCCTCTGAGTGACCGTTTGCCAAAAACTTGGCTTAAAGAGGGCTTTGCAAATTTCTGGAGGACAGGGATTGTCTCTTTTTCTTAAACATGAGATCCACATCTTGCCCTGCCTATCAGTCTAGGATAATGAATATATATTCAGTAAATGCTTGTTGAATGAACCAATGTGTGAATGATTTTCTTGGTGGGTTTCTATGAACTGAGGGAGAAGAGGCAACATATCAGTAAAGAATGAACAGTTTTGCTTTGAAATAAGGAAGGCAATTTATTGTAGTGAGCTTATACTCAAGTTGTACCTATGCCCGCGATGCATATAAAGTAATTCCCTCCACATTATTGAAGGAGACACCATTGAACTACAAAGAAACTCAAAGTGCTAGAAATCAGTTAATGATGCATAATGTAATGCATTTTCACTAACTTACCTAAATTTAAAATTAGATGATTAGAGGACATACTGAAGTATTCTTCATACATTTTAACAACTTTTTCTTTTACTGGAGCTTGCAATGCCTTTGATAACTCCAAACAGTGACAACTCTATTCCTTGCTGTTTCTTTCATCTTACTATGGTGACTAGTTATCACAAAGCTGCTTACTAGAGGAAACTTCTAACAGAGACTTAAACATGTTCCCCTAAATGGAGTTTGTGGAAAATATGAAAATTGGCACACTGTTTTAGGCAACATGAAAACAGAAAAGATTATTTCTAAACCCTAACCACTAGAAAAATGCCCCAGGAGGCAGAGAACAGCCATGCAGTTTAGCGCAAGTTCACAGACAAATATATACACATGTTGACGTAGACCTCTTTGCACCCAACGCCTTGTCTAGAACGCATTTTATACATTTGCTACATGTTGCACAAATGCAGGGGCGCAGACACTGCCTGAGTGCCTTTGAGGAGCTGGGTAGCTGTCCTCTCTGAGGAGGTATCTACACAACTTTCCAACGGAGCTTATTCACGACTTTTTGGAAAACAGAGTCTAAGAGCAGCTCTTTACACCGCCTTGTGTGTACAGAGGTGCCATGCGCTGTGTACAGAGGTCCACCGCCTAGATGTAGGATTCCTTAGCGAATCGGAACTGATCAGCATCAAAGATGGGCTGACTACACCGCCGGGCCAGGAGGGGCTCCTTGTTCTTCTGTTGAGACTCAGACACAGTTCTCGGCCGATGCAGCTCAGGTCTCCTGGTGACAGTCACCTGTCCTGTCATGTCTGTAGAAGCACAGGCAGTCCTCTGCTTCCAGCTCTCAGTCCTGGACCACAGTCGGGGCCCGTCCAGTGGCTCCTGACTGCATATATTTCTTGAGTCCCCTCCGTGGTGGACAGGGAGAGGCGGTGGTAGCCGGGCGTCCAGGCTTAGCATCCTGGCCCTCATGCTGCCAACTGTTTGGCTCCCGTAGGTGGCGAGCTCCAAGGCCTGGTGCCGAATGGCCTCCTCGTAAGAGGGGGGCCTGCCAGGGCTCCTCTGATCCACCGGCTGGAACGCTTTCTCCACCGAGAGGGAGTGGGCCCCCGAGTTAAAGTCCACAGCTGTTTGGCCGTGGGTATCAGGCAAGTTTTCCTGGACGATTCGGCCGGCAAGCTGGCTTTCTTTTTTAAGACCTTTCTTTACTTGGTCTCTGGCGCAGCCATTGGATTTCACAGCCACAGCAGAGCTGCGGGTTTTGGTTAACACTTTTTGGTGAGAGGCAAAGGAGGATGACATGGAGTGTTTTTTTATTTCTCTGTAGGGCTTACTTTTCTCAGTCTTTGTGAAAGACTGATGTCTGGTGAAGAAAATTCTTTGGTGGCTGGAAGGGGAGGCCAGGCCTGGGCTGTCGGAGAGCACGTCCAGGCAGCCACTGGAGACGGCTTTGGGCGTCAGTGTGCACGCTGACACCAAACCCTGAGCTGGGCTCTGCAGCCTCGGCTCTCGCGGCCCCTGGGTTTTCCCTTCTGCTGCAGGAAACACCTCCTCTGGAAACGGATCCTCGGCTTCCTCACTTGCAAAACGAGGGGCCGCCTGGGCCGCGGTGAAGTCCTCCTCACTTCGTGTGAGTTTCGGGTTTGCTTTCCTGCCCTCAAGGCACTCCTGCGAGGATGCCGCCGTGCTGGGGTCCGAGTACCTCCTGTCTGGTTGCCCGAGGGAGCCTTTCAGTCTGGGCGCACTGCTGAGGACAGGCTCCCAAGGGTGCGGCGGGCCTCTGGGCTCCAGGCCGGCAGCCAGGTCCGAGGACCCTGGGGGCCACCTGCTCAGGGACCCCATGGCGCTGGGCTCCGCGTCGGGGTCGGGGTCGTTGCTGTCATAGGCCGAGTCGTTCTGCAGGGTCGACACGTCTGGGGGAAGTTAAGGGACGGTTGAGCTTTTGTTCAGTTACTTTTAGAAATAAACCTAAGTACCGTTCACCTACTTATTTCAAGTATGGCGCCAGGGAATTTGGTGATGCTAATTTGGGGCTTGGTATGAAAGAAACTGGCCGCAGTAAAATTCTGTTTCTTTCCATATCTACTATTTTGAGGTGGAGAAGATAAGTAGGAAAATGAAGCGAGAGACGGAGGAAATGAGAAAGGAGAGAAAACAGCATTCCACTGAAAATTTATTGATCTTAAATTTAAAACTGATCCTTTGGATGGCTCTTTTGACTGGATCCATCCCCATTTTAACAGACCCATATTCCACTGTGTGGAAACAGAAGTTTCTTATGCCAACTCTCTAGCTAAAAGTTACTTAGTTACTTAGTAAAATTAGCAGTTCTTCCTGATTTAGAAGAGGAAGGGGAAGGTTCCAGGCTGAAGCTGAATAAGTGTCTGGAGCCCGAGGAAACAGTGCAGGAAAACTCGAGAGAAAAGTTTCCGCGTTTAATGACTTCCCTACAGACTGGAGTCTACTCTGATTTGGTGATGTGTGAAGGTAACTTCTGCTTCAGATACCAGGGATGCTTTACATTACTGGTCTGGACTGGTAGCTGGCCATGAACTTGACGCCAGAGTCAGAATCAATTGAGAGCACCTTCCGCACCTGAACTGTCAGTGTGTTCCAGGGAGTCATCAGAGGCAATTCTGGAATGCCCTGGCATGTTCTCCCCAAATATTTCAAAGCAGTTATCGATGAGGAATTCCACCAGTGTCTTAACCTGTGAGGAAAAGTTAACAGGTTGTCAGCTTAACGAGACCTTTATTTATTTTTAAAGGAAAGGTGGTTAAGAATGGGGACATAGCGGGGGGTCAGCAGTTAGGGAGGTGCCAAAATGGTCATGAGAGATCTTTATGTGTCTGAAAGGAGCATCCGGAAAATTGGTAACAATCACCTATATGAAAATTATTTTTGAGACATGCATTTTTAATTTGTGAATTAAAAAAAATCTATTACATTAAAGTAACAAAAATTTTCATTTAAGGAGTTTCCCAAATTGGTAGCTGAACTGACAGAGTGTGATGCACGAAAGAGAGAAAAGTGAAAGGGCCTTTCCATCCTGGGACACAGTCATGTAAAGATGGGTATCGATTGTCCTCTGTCTCATAGGATGATAGAGGATACAGGCCCAGCTTTACTCAGTTTCATCCAATGTACACACCCAAGAGAATGGAACTAGGACCAAAGCATTTGCCTTTCATATTTTCACCGTGATCTTGACTGAGTCAGAGAAGTTCACGGGCATTTTATTGCTTGGCTTTTGCAAACAGACGATGAGTTTCTCAGAAATAGACAGAAACAAACCTTATCATTCAGGTCTCTCCGGGCTTCGAATGACAGGTTTTGCTCATTCTCCGGGCTCAGCACATTGGGCCCGATGCAGATGGCAAGATTGCTGGCATCCATCCTGTTGACCTCAGAGTTCTTGCTGATGACGTGGAGTACGGAGACCAGGTGCTTGAGCAGCAGGTGGTTGGGCTGTGGGAGCTTATCTGCAACCCTGGAACGGAGTTCGGGAAGGCTGGTTTTAGGGGAGGCTCATGGCCTGTCTAGCTTGAGGGTGGCAAGTTGAAAGTTTCTGCCTAACCCAGACTTCCTTTAAAATGAGGAAGGTTCATTTTCACAAGAGACATTGTGAAACGTTCATTCAGACACTTCCAGTGGCAACTGACACGGAATGAATCAGTTAACCACAAGATCTTGAAGCCCTAAAAAACTGGCCTTTATGATCAGGACACCAATAACATGGCCCTTTATTCTTTACATAGATCTTAAGTTACGAAATATTAAATCCTGCAGTAAAATACATAGTTTAATACATTTTGAAAATCATTTTGTTGAGTAACCATTTAGCCATGTAGAATGTCTTTCTGCTTCTAACACTGCAAGACTATTTTTTTTTAAAGAATACAATCATTTGCCTTTTTTTTTTTTTTTTTTTGCGGTACGCGGGCCTCTCACTGCTGTGGCCTCTCCCGCTGCAGAGCACAGGCTCCGGACGCGCAGGCTCAGCAGCCGTGGCTCACGGGCCCAGCCGCTCCACGGCACGCGGGATCCTCCCGGACCGGGGCATGAACCCGCGTCCCCTGCATCGGCAGGCGGACTCTCAACCACTGCGCCACCAGGGAAGCCCCATTTGCCTTTTTAAAAACTGTGCTCATCAAATGAAGATGACACATTTTTATACCATTCTGAGAAATCTTTATGGAGATTAAATCAGTTTATAAGAGCATGTTCATAAAAATTGTGACAGCAGCACTTAAATGGCAATATTGGCACTACTACTAATAAATTAGAGTTGTAAAGCTTCATAGCTTCAAAAAATGAAATGGTGTCTCTAACATAAAGATTGTTCATTTCTCATAAGAAGATATTGTTATGAAAGAGCTTTGTGTCTGTAAGCAGAAACTTATTGTGATAATCGTAGGGACAGACACACTAATGTCTTCAATTCAATAAATATTTCATTGAAAGTATTTAGCCATGTGAGACAATCATAATATATAGACAGACTTTCATAGGATTTGGCAAAAGCGCTGTTATTTTAACGTTAGTGTTTAAGATTTCCTAGTCTCTAACAGGTCACACTTCCATTTATATATGGAATTGTTTTTGCTGTGGTTGGAATTTGTTTTTATATAGTTTTCATTTTGGTTAATTATAAGAATATGAAATATGCTATGGAATTTTATGAACAAACAACCCCTTCCAGATTGTTTGCTATGCTTTAAGGGATGTTTTGTGGGAGAATAGTTGCTTTGCATGACATCAGTGTACAGGTTAAGGAGACCCCAGATTCCTACACCTGGCTGGTTACCCTGCTTTGAGGCTTTCATCTATGAGTTTGTTCCATACTTTCTTGAACTACTTATATTTTTAGACTCCCCATCTCTTGGGATTTGTGAGTACTGAAGTCCACTTTCTATCTTTTGAAGAGGTGCTTCCTTTCATTTGGCTAAAACTACTTTTAAAAAATTTCCAGGGTACCTCTAGATTTGTATTCTGGGAGTGGATGAACAATTCCACTCGAACTCCCTAAACATTGCAATATACGTAAACCACTCTGACAGTTATGTGCAGAATCAAAGGATGGAGACCGTGCGGGCCTGGCCTCCGGGGACGAGGCTGGCAACTTACTGCTTCAGGGCCTCGATCCTGTCCTCTTCACTGTGCTTCTCCAGGGCACCCATCCACTCCTCAAACAGGTCGCAGGACAGGAGCTTCAGTGGGATACTTCTGAGGAAGTCCTGGAGGGTGGGAGGGGACCATTCATGTTACACAACGTGCTGCCATCATTCTACCTCGTTTGTCAAATCTCAGGGACTCTGTGCTCATACACTACATAGGCTGCGCCCTTTCCTTCCTGCATTCATTAGTCTGGAGAAATCTCTCACCTGACTTGTCTCTCAGCAGCTTCCTAACAACAGGCGCAGTAAGGCCATCATCCAGGGGGCCACCAGACTTAGGGGAATGGATTCGGCCATGGGACAATCCAAGTGCTTTTCCTCAGAGAAATTTGGGGGGAATTTAATGCACCACTTTCTGTTGGAATCTGGGGTCACAGAAACAGAGATGCTTATACAAATAAATAAAGGCTTAACTAAAAAAATTAAACTCTAAGATCAGTTTCCTTTGCTTTGTAGGGTAAAGAGCCCTTATCTTATTTCCTGAGCGTCAATGTGTGAGAGCCCATCAGCAGGTCATTTGGCACCAATGCTGTGAACTCACCTTAAAGACCACCGCCAGGAGGTGCACGGGGAGACTTTTCAGATCCACCACGCCTCCGGAGTTGAGCTCTTCCTTAAGCTCTTTGCGGGCTTTCTCGTTGGCTGCTTTCCTGAATATTCCTTCAGTGGAAGGGCCTTTAAGGCATAGTATAGTGAGAATATCCTAAAGGAAAGGATAGAAATAGGAAGTGGTTACCCTTGGTTTGAAGACACGCTTCGCTGCTACTAACACAGGAAAAATCTATGTCTTGGTAGGAGAAAAAGAATTAAAATAGTGGACATGAACAGTATCTAACTTTACCTGTTATGAAACATCCTCTCCATAAAAGTTAGTTCTGCAGGATCCTAAGACAGTCTTAACAAGAGACTGTTAATGCCAGTTTTTCCTTTCAGTCTGGTTGCTATCAACTGTCTCCCTCGGCCCTGCCATTTTTCTGAGAGGAGGTAAATTGTGAAAGCTGGAATTTGCACATTCTAAAACTATTTCAGGCCTCTCTCCTTTCAAGTCATTCCATATAAACAATGGATTTCTGATCATCAACTCTATAAATCTCTGCCTCTTGATTTCTCAGAAGCTACACATTTTCAGCATTCTTCTCTCCATGAAGTTAGAAGGAGGGAGGGACCATCAACCTGAGCTCAGTGGCAAATACAGCTAATTTCTAGGATGTAAACAGCCAGGTGTTCTCCTGACTGCATTCCTAAGCGGGAACACCATTTCCAAACGTGGGAAAAAAGCTAAAGATTGGCCCCAACAAGTGTAGCATCGAGAATGTGCCGCTCAGATTTCCCGAGGACTTTTCACGGCTGGCGGAAAACGGAAGTAGGTTCACGCGTGAATGTGCACCTACCTGAATGGGTCTGGGGAGTGTGTCATTGTCACTGCAGATAGCTGACAAGGGCTGATCAAATAGGGATGACCTCAGTTCTGGCTCTGAAGCCCCAGAAAAATCTGATGAAGAAGAAAGCCTTCTCATGAGAAAGAGCCAGTTCAGCACCTTCTTTCTCTTCTTAATTTCTACAGCCAAGAAAACAAAGCAAAGAGAAATTAGATTAAAATATTGATAAGCGAGGATCCAGATAAGATGACAAATATTGTCATGTATGGTTTGCCGTGTGGGACAAATAATATTGAAAAACCGGAAAGCAAAGGGTGTGAATCTTAATCTACAAAAATCAACCTGAAAAACAACTACATTGTTACCAGGGCAGCCAGCCCCTAAACAGCAACACCAAGGTTCCTCAAAGACTCCACCTTTCCTGTTTTTACGCTTTACCAGCTGTTTGCTGCAGAAAATGAGCAAAACCTAACTAAGCAGATCATAAACAACCATCTTAACATATTGACCTTAATAACCACGGTGGATATTTCTGATGTGAAATAGATTATTTTAATTTCTTCCTTTGACTAGTGAAGAAAATGAAACTTATAGGAAGAGGAAGTGACTTGCTCAAGACCATTTTGAAGGCTCCACGCTGGGCGGGCCATTAAGCAAACCTCTGTGGCCATGCTAACACTCACCACTAGGGGGAGCTACACCACACAATCTGTCTACAGTCACCTGCAGGGTTTTCCCAGTGGATGCTTTAGGGAAGGGCGGGCACAAATTGCTGCAGGAAGGTTTGAACCTAGACCTTGCCAAGATATTTTATCCTTGCAAAAGCCTGAAGACGTGTGCAATGGGTATAACGTCTAACAAGTTTCCTTCTTTCTGTTTTCTCTCTCCTTCCTTCTCCTTTTTTTTCTAATTATAAAAGCTACATATTCTAAATGCACTGGCATATGTTTCTATACTTTTTATACCATCAAGTGGAGGAAGATGGATAGAGAACTGGCTTGTCCTCATAGTTCAGGAGAACTGGGTCAGGGTTACTTTATAATGCAATGAATTGTGGGAGAAATTGAGTGAATGGTGGATTCTTTGGGATTGGAGATTAGTAACAATTGCTTCATGTGCTCTTAGAATCATTCTCCGTTAGAGGAGGGCGACAATGGTACAGGCAACTGTGTGTCTTTCACATGTATGCACATTTTAATTGTCAAAACATAAATGCCAGGAGACCTGTAACTCCATTAAAACCCCTCTGGAGAGCTGGGGGGTTGGCTTAGGGAAGATCTTTTCTATCAGAGCGCTGGCTCTCTAGTGAGCTGGAGCCCTCCTGCCATGCAAGTGTTAATGTTCTGTGGTCTTTAAAAGAACACTTTGAAAAAAAAATTCCTAGTAAAGCACTGTGGTTTGGCAAACTAAGAACTTCTACGTAAAAGATCAGTATGTTTTCAAAACTCACCAATTAGCTGGCAAAGACTATTTTCGCTCTCACATGATGCCAACAGAGGATATTCCTTGATGTCACCCTAAAAATAGATTTGTTTTAGTTTAAAATAATGACTGAAGAAATCTGCCCAGTCTTTCCCCACAAAGTACATTCAACATTTTATTCATATCAAAAACTAGTCAAGCGTCCGTTAATTTTTTCTATCTTCCAGAATCAATGTTAATGTCCTGCTTATCATGATAGAAGATCTCAATTAATATTAGTCTTTAATTTTCTACACTTATTATGTTGATTTTCTATCCTGATAACTAAACAATACAAATGATATTCAATTAAAAAAGTTTTCCATCTCACAGTGCAGATAAAAAGTTTTAAACATTGCTTTCTTACCTCTGATCGACATTCAGTTAATGTCTCCATATTACTGGCATTTAGTGTTTTTGACTAAAAGAGAAAACACTAAATTAGGTAAACCTCTTTGACTCTTGCCATGAGAAAACATGAATTAATAAATGTAAGAAGGGCGCATACAGCATGGCAGCTGCTTGTCAACTTCATTAGAGTTTGGGCTGACTGTCCAGCGATGAGCTTTGCTCCTGTGTGGCCTTGGCTCTGTATACAAGAAATCATATGGGAAGAAGTTAGGAGGGATACATGTAATGCACTGGCCAATTTCAGTGCCACTCTGATTAAACACAAAGTTTGAAACTACTGGCTAGAAAATTTTTCATTTAAAGTCAGTTATACACCATTGTAAAGCAATTGTACTCCAATAAAGATGTTAAAAAAAAATAAAGTTAGTTGTATGTTACCAGATGTCTTAGGCTATTAAACACAACATCTGGACACACTTATTTCTAAATGTTTTAAATCTGATATCTTCATCATGCCAAACTTTGTTATTCATTTATTACGTTCCCATCAGGAGATAACCTGAATAACAATTACAACAACAACTAACTCTTATTTGGAGAGCTCACTGTGTGTCAGGGCACTGTATTAAGTGTTTTGCACAGATTTTCTCATCTAACCGGAAAAGGAAAAAACGTATTCCCAGGATGCTACTTATAGCAGACATACAACAAAGATAACGTGTACAGAATTCCTATACCCCAAAAGTGCAGGCTTCACATTAAAGCAAAGCTTTCTGTGTTTACTCTTTATAACACTTTGTTGCATATTCCACGGTGTCACTGTTTTCTGTTGGATAAGATCTTAAAGCCCAGTGACCCTGTAGGCAGCTTACTGTCTTGTCATGTTAATTTATGGTACTTACCCTCGGAGGGCCTCCACCCAGACTTCTTTTACCTCCAGTGAACTGTGGAAAATGGGAGAAACAGCATGACACTCTGCTCCAAATAATCCACCGTCAGTGAGGAGACTGAACTGCTCTAACTTCACAAGTTCTGTGTTATAAGGGAGAGGGGGCGGGCAGGTGGAAATTCAGAATATTACTGAGACCGGAAAGAACATCACGGGCTGTCACCGGGACAGAGTCAGCCAGACACTGTGGAGCTCTCACTTCCTCATTCCTTTTAGGGCAGCTCTGGTTCTTTTTTTTTTTCTTCTTCCACTTCAAAGCAAGACATCTGTAAACTACTAAGAGTGGAAAAGATGACATATGGCCATAGGTGAAGGCTCTGATTAATGTCATAGGTGGGATGTATGAATGAAATTGTGTTATTCCGTACGTAAGCATCATCGTATTTTCTAAAGTGGTAATTTCAGGTGTCCTTTTTTGTGTATCCTGTTTGGGTGCTGTCTCCCCTCCCACCCACCATCTCCTCTGTTCGCCAGTCACTGTACATTGATAAGCACCCTCTAGGTGCGGGATGTTGTCCCTCTAAGAAACCCAAGACATGCTGCCTCTTTTGAAAAATAGTCGCCATCCAAAGCCAGGTCTGGAATTAGAAAGAGTCCACCAGAGCAGGCTGTCAACATACTGACCTCTTCTTTCCCTAACTCAATACTTAGGTCATAGTCAGATTAGATCTAATTCTGTCATGGGAAGTAAACAAAAAATTCCTTTGGTCAGACCATTCGAAAGTAGAAAGGAGATGGGGAATTTCATCTGTGGATACTGCCTTCTGGGTAAGAGAGAAGGGTGGCCTTTTCTGTGGCTTAAGGCTGTATATGAAATGACTCAAGTTCCTCGACAATAGAATGGAGACATAAATTGTGACACATTCACACAGTGGAGTCTTACAGAGCCCTAAGAATGAATAGTGTATAACTACATTCAGCAGTATGGTTGGGACTCACAGAATAATGTTGAGCGAAAGAGGCCAGACACCAAAGATTGCATCTTGCATGCAAAGCCCCCAAACAGCAAAAGTAATCTGTGCTATTAGAAGCCAGAATAGCGTTTCCCTAGGGCTGGATAGTGACTCTCAGGGATCAGAGAGGGGCTTTGAAATGGACCATCTCATGGTCCAGGTGCTACTAGTCTTAGGTGTACATTTCCGTATGTATGCTATTCTTCAACAAAAAGTTTACAACTACCTTGACTTAATTCATTATTAGCTTCTGTAATTCTAAACCTCTTTTTATATTGATGGCGCTATTGACTTTATACTGAAAGGAGGTCATGATCAGGCATATTTTGGGAAACTGAAGCACAGAGCTGTTAAAATTTGCCCGGTAACTCAGAGTCTCGGCGGGTGAGCTCAGGACAGAACCAGTGTCCAGGCTTCCAGCCAGAGGCGCCCTCTCTTAAAACTGCCAGAGTTCACGCAGCACCCCACCACATCTGTAGACGTTATTGTTCTTTCACCCTCCCTCTTAAAAACCTCTGAGATGAATTCACTGATTTTCATTATTATTATGAAAAAGGGCATTTATGCTGTCCTCTCCTAGAGTCAGACACATGGAAGGTACTCAATAAATAATTTCTGTATAAATACATTTACTTATGAAATATTCACAATAGGATATTACTATAATACATATTCTTTGCTAATATGTATTTTATGAACTTTTTCATTGGATACTTTCTTTAGTTCTTCTAAGAAACTTAATGTTTGCACTGCTCTTACAACTAAAGCATCCATCCTCAACTGACATATTTCTCTCTTTAAAAATGAAGACCATATTTTTTTCTAATCCTTAGGGCTTCTTATGTTATGCCCTATACCCCACAATACACATTCCACCAGTGATTTAAAAACTTTCTTTTTGTCATGGGATTCTATATTCAAAGGAAGATGAATCTAGAATCCTGATATATAAAATGTTAAAAAAACTTTTTTTTAAGAGTATGTTGCTCTAGTGAGAGATGGGTGGGGAAATCATAGACCCATCCGTTTTGCGTCTTCTGACAAGTCCAAGCTGGGGGGTTCTTGAGGAGACTCAAACACTCATATACCAGCAGTTCTCAAAGTGCCTTTAGTGATCCCTGGAGCCCTTTCAGGAGGGTCCACAAGGTCAAACTATTTTGTAACAATACTGAGATGCTATTTGCCTTTTTGACTCCATTCTCTCAAGAGTATATAGTGGAGTTTTCTAGAGACCACATGATGTGGAATGTTTTGATAGCTATGGGAATGCAAACTTGCATTATCTTGTGTTTTAAATTTTTCTCAATTTTAATTTCTCCTACGATACATATGGGTAGATATAACTTAGGTAAATTAACGTGCTTTAGAGTTGTCAATAATTTTGTAAAGGGTTCCTGAGACCAGAAATGTTTGAGAACTGCTGAGCTACATCATATCATATCTTTGCATGTGAGAAAATTCCACGTTCGTGTCTTATTTGCCTATTATCTTCACCCTATTTATAGCCATAGCCATTTTCAATGGAAATCATTGCCAAGGTGTGTTGCCCGACAGTCCATCACTCCACACTGCATATTGTTTATTAAGAGCTTCAACAGGGCTTCCCTGGTGGCGCAGTGGTTGAGAGTCCGCCTGCCGATGCAGGGGACGCAGGTTCATTCCCCCGTCCGGGAAGATCCCACGTGCCGCGGAGCAGCTGGGCCCATGAGCCATGGCCGCTGAGCCTGCGCGTCCGGAGCCTGTGCTCCGCCGCAACGGGAGAGGCCACAGCAGTGAGAGGCCCGCGTAACGCCAAAAAAAAAAAAAGAGCTTCAACAAGTCTTAGAGTGAAGAAAGGATTCTTTCCTGCTCGGTTACATCTGCCGCACTGTGATTTTCCATGTTTTTCATGATGGCTTTGTGCTGGCAGCTGCCCCAAGCGGTCTTCACCCCCTTTCCTCTACTTCTGAGTCTCGTGTCCTTTATGGCGGTCACTTCACTACATTTCTTCTCAGTTGTCCTAGGGACACAGACGTCCTTCTATATATAAACTATAAGCTCAGCCGTCGACATATGGCAGTGGGGAAAAATGAGGAAGTGGGACATAAGAAAAGTGCTGTTTCTCTTTGGATATGTCATTTAAAACATTGTGAATTTTTAAGTGAAATTTGATTGTTGCTGAGGGTTATATATTTTTTTTTATGTAGAGGATCATGTCTTTAAATTTATTATGAAATACAATAAGAAATAGACTTTTATATAAACATGTTCATTACATGTTTCTGTAACAGCTCTTTTGAAACGCGGAATAATGTGTTTGTTAATTATGTTGTGATAACTTTGGACTTTTTAAAAGGAAGAAATGATAAAAATGCAAATGCTATAAATTATATTGAATAAAAAATTCCCTTTAATCTGGTCTATTTTCTTCCTTTCCTCCTCCTCCTCCTTTTTCCTCTTTTTTTTTTTGCGGTACGCGGGCCTCTCACTGTTGTGGCCTCTTCCGTTGTGGAGCACAGGCTCCGGACGCGCAGGCCCAGCAGCCATGGCTCATGGGCCCAGCCGCTCCGTGGCACGTGGGATCCTCCCGGACCGGGGCACGAACCCGTGTCCCCTGCATCGGCAGGCGGACTCCCAACCACTGCGCCACCAGGGAAGCCCTTCCTCTTCTTTTTTTTGAGACTGAATTATGGGACTAGACATGGATATTTATTGACATTGAATTTCAGGGCTGAATGGGTTTTAAGTGAGCAACTAGTTTAACGTCCTGTCCATATCCTGATGCTTTTATCTCTGCAGCACCCCTCACCAAATTGTCTCTGAGATTGTTCTTGAAGTCCTCTCTTTCTGAGAGCATTCCAACTGCTGAGTGAGCCATTCCCTAATTCAGCAGAAGGCTCCTTGCTATGTCAGAGTGAAGCCTGTCTTGAAAGCCTTTCCTGTTTTAAATCCCATTCTATCCTGGGAGATAGCCTTCCAGCTTCTTCTATTCAACCCCTGCGGCCCCCATGCCTCCCACCCCAAAACAAACAGACAAAGACACTTCTCAGTAGGTAACATCCTTTGTTGGCATCCATCATCAGCTCTGCATTCTAAGATTTCAAGGCAAAAGAAAGCGGTAGTGAGATGCTTATTTAACACTACTACGTGCCCTCTATTGTCCTAGCCATATTCAGATACCTCATTTCACATCATTTTTAGAACCACTCTGAGTATATCACTCTCGCTGTCTTATGGCTGAGTCACCTGGGCTCCACGTCAGCTCATTTACCCAACGTCACTCTGTTGAACCTAGTCTTTTGA